TATGCATTTGTTTTTGGCTTTTGTTATTGTTGTTGAGGTTTATTTTGTTTTTTAGGTGCCACATGTATGTGAAATCACATGACACTTATCTTTCTCTATCTGACTTCCTCAGCTCAGCATGATAGCCTCTAGGTCCATCATGAAATATCTTTTTCTACCCCTTTACTTTCCGTCTGTGTGTGACTTTTAATCTGAAGCGAGTCTCTTGTAGGCAGCCTATGGAAAGGTCTTGTTTTCTATCCATTTATTCAGCCACTCTATTTTTTGATTGGAGCAGTTAGTTCTTTTTCATTTGAAGTACTTGTCGATACATAGGTAGTTATCGCCATTCTTTATTTATATTTTTGATACGTATTTTTTCCTTCTTCATAAAGAAGTCCCTCCAACGTTTCCTGTAATACTGACTTGGTGGTAATGAACTCCTTTAGCTTTTTCTTGTCTGGGAAGCTCTGTATTCGTCCTTCGATTCTAAATGATAGCTTTGCTGGATAAAGTAATCTTGGTTGTAGATCCTTGCTTTTCATCACTTTGAGTATTTTGTGCCAAGCCCTTCTGGCCTGCAAAGTTTGTGTTGAGAAATTGGCTGACTGTCTTATGGGAGCTTTGTTGTAGGTAACTAATTGCTTTTCTCTTGTTGCTTTTAAGATTCTCTCTTTGAAATGAAACTTGGCATTTTGATGATGATGTGTCCAGGTGTGGGCCTCTTTGGGTTCATCTTGTTTGGGACTCTCTGAGCTTCCTGGGGTTGTGTGTCTATTTCCTTCATCAGGTTAGGGAAATTTTCAGACAACGGTTTTGGAAACAGGTTTTCGATTCCTTTCTCTTTTCTCCTTCTGGCCCTCTATGATGCGAATATTGTTCTGCTTGATGTTGTTCCGGAGGCTCCTTAAACTATCTTCTTTTTTTTTGGATTCTTTTTTCTTGTTGTTGTTCTGATTGGGTGTCCTCGGTCCCCCCCTCCTCTATGTTGCTGATCCGACCCTTTGTTTCATCCACTCTGTTGACTCCCTCCGATGTACTCTTCATCTCAGATAGTGCCTTCTTTATTTCTGACACGTTTCCTTTTATGTTTTCCATCTCCATTTCTATTTATTTATTTTTAATCTCTTTGTTATAGCTCTCACTGAGTTCACCTACTCTTCCCCTAAGTTCATTGAACATCCTTATAACCGGTGTTCTGAATTCTGCATCTGGTAGATTGCTTGTCTCCATTTTGGTGAATTCTTTTTCTGGTGCTTTGTTCTGTTTTTTTTTTTTTTTTTTCCCCTTTGAGATCTCCCTATTCTGTCTGCCTCCCTGTGTCTGTTTCTATGTATTAGGTAGGGCTGCTGAGTCTCCCAGTCTTAGTACAGTGGCTTTATATAGTAGGCCCACAGGTTGGGAGGGGTGGAGTCTCAGGGAATCAATCGCCTGAAGGAATGACCTGTGTTATCCAGGTTAATGTTGTCTCACATTACAGCGACAGCGCCCACGTCCACAGGCTGGGAGGCGGAGGGCTCACCAAAGGGACAGTGGATACTGCTGCACTTCTGTCTGGGAGGAAGCCGCCCCTCCAGCTGCGCCGAAGCCTGGCAACTTAGCATCTCTCCGTTCGACCCTGGAGCACGACAAGCAGCTGCCTCAGTGCTGGGGCTCAGAGTCAGCGAGTCGGTCAGGGAGAGAGGCGGGCGTGGGCCCTTTAAGATGAACTTCTATGAGTCCCACTGTTGTCACAGCCAGAGGTGGCGGGGACTTCTCTTCCCAGGGCTGGGGCGCCCAGTGTGGGGCCGGGACCCCTCGCTCCTCAGGTGGGGGAGGGGCTCTGCAGCCAGGTCACCCCTCCTGATTCTCTTGATTGCCACACGTGGTTGTGGGACCTGGCCGTTTTGTGTCTCGGCCCCTCCTGCTGTTTTGACGTGATCTGTGATTTCTGTCCCTAGTTGTAGGGTCACGAGAGGCGATGTGCCCCGGCGACGCCGTCTTTGAACTTGCTCTGATGTGTGTCTTTTAAATGGACGACAGCAATTTTGTCCACCTCGTAGAGATATAAAAGCGAACATCTATCTGAAGGTTCTTCCAACTTATTCGAATACAATTTTCTTTTGTTTTTTTTTTTTTTCATGGTTAATAGAGACCTAGTGGAGAGATAAATACGACATCTGATAAATGAAAAGAAGTAAATCTCAGAAAAAGCTTCGGAGATCCAAGAAATGGCCTCTGGGATGGTGAGAGCCTTTATATCTCGCGACGGCGCTTGATGGCTCCGATTCCTCTGTATCTTCTGATTGTTCCAGGAGATATTATGTACCATGGCAGTTTTTTGAAAGAAATGTTTCTACGTTGTATGTAGAAGTATAGGTTTGCATTTCTGTTTATTCACTCGTCTCTGCATGACTGAAGGGCGAACCTTTGAGGGCACCCGGGTATCTTCCTTAGACCTGTTTTCTCCATCAATGTAGGTAACATAACCTTGAATCTGACCACGACAGTTTCACACCTGAGCACAAGAGCTATCGATCCTTTCTTTTAACTCCGTGTCTCCAAAGTCTAGTTCTTTCTTTGCCCTAATCTGTGCACGAATCGCTCCGTTAATCCATTCCATGTTGAAACGAATAGACGTAGAAAGGGAATCAAAGGATCAAGAATTCCATGTATGCGTCGAGAAATCGAGAGAACCGAAGAAAATATCTGTGAAACTAGATGACATTTCACAATACCACAGCAGCAGCAAGTATGTGAAAATTATTGTACCCACGGAAGTAAATGCTTTTATTTCCTATATCATCGCTTCTCAGGGACCGGTACTCTTGCCCTGTGGGTCCCCTGATCTCTGTCCCACATTTCCAACTCTCCAAGGCAGATAATCGGATTGAGTTGGATGTCTTCGTCCAGAAGGCATCACCTGTGTTAGGATGCATTTCTCATACTAGGTGCTTAATGAACCGCTAGCTCACCCTATGGATCACAGTTTTCCACTTTGGCTAAAGAGTGAAATTACTTTGGAAACTTTAAAACTCCTGAAGCCAACATAATACATGACTGAATTTGCAGCCACGGGACCTGTCACCTCCAATTAATCTGGGCTGCGACCTGTGCATTGGGGTTTTTTTAAGCTTCCCAATGTGGTCAAGTTTGGGCATCACTGCTGTGGGGCATATATGTCACCCATGGGTCAATTACTGATTCAGGTTTTTTTTTTTTTTTTTAATTTCAACAGTCATGTAATAGCCATCAGAGCAATTTAAGTAAAAGGAACGTGCTATGGCCACTTTGGACATTGACATGACAGGATAATGGAAAGAATAGTCAGGACACGTTTGGTTCTAGGGGGTCCCTGGCTTTTGCTATCCATACATTTGGTTGACAAATCAACCTTTGTCCAAGTCATTTTTTTTTTTTGATAGTCTAGATCGGTACTGTCCAACTGAACTTCCTGTGATGATGGAAATGGTCTCGTCTACGGCTAACCAACGAGTAGCCATATGTAGCATGTAAGGACTTGCAATGTGGCTAGTATTGCTGAAGAATTAAATTTTAAATTTAATTGAATAATTTTAAATTTAAATGGCCACATGTATCTAGTTGTTACCACATGGGACAACATAATGGTAATGAATTCGGTCAGTGCATACTGAGATACCACAGGTTGGAACCCGTGCCTAGGGCAACTTTGAGTTTTCCATTATAGCTCTCTCTCTCTGTGTAGGACCGCCTTAAATCGTTCAACACACGACTGACTTT